GAGTAGGAGATCAAGGGAGTGAGACGTGCTCGGCCAGGGCAGATATCGGCTTAAATGAGGCGCGTGTGGAACTCAAATCCATGGAAGGCGAACGAGGGACAAAAAGATGCCGGCCGATGTTCGGAGTCGACGGTAAGAGGGGCACAGCCGCCAATCACGCCGCGAATGATGACGGTCCGCCTCGGCCTCCACCGCTGTCGGGCTGCGATACTTCACATCTGGTAGGTGCCAGGCGGTGATAGCGCTCTTGAGCGATATAACACGCAGGCAACCTTGTCGCGCATCCCCTCTGGCGCTGCGAGCGCTCCTCTAGGTACTGTTTCCGCAACCAATGACGACATTCACGTGTCGAGAGGTCGCTGCTGCCCCGCACTGCGCCTGCCCCACTGCACCGCCTCCCGAGCGCCGTCTGCAGCGTCAGCAAGTCTACCAATCTTCCGATTTGACACTGGACGAGCATGTTGCGACGACAGCTGACGAGGCCCTGGCCAGCCCACATGTTCACCCACGCTTCGTGAGGCTGGAATGGACATGACAGTAGCCCAGGTGCAGAAGCAATTTGCTGCGTTTGAAGAAGAAAAACAATCGCCGTTGATAAGCAAGCGAGCTACAGCGTCCGACCGCGATCCTTCGACGGCATCGCTATTCCCACCCAGTGTCGCTTCTATCAACGCGGGGTGAATACAATGCGCCGAAGCTCCCGGCAGCTCCCTTGTAGCATATGCACTCCAGCCATGCTCCCAGTAATTTACATGTTCCGCGATACTATAGTACACCCACCGGTCTATATGCATACCCACACATCTACAAATTGTCCGCTGTAAAGATAAGCAATGCCATGCGATGCCGCACGAATAGTCCTACAAGTCCAATCGCGAACTGGAACGCGAGCAAACCCATAGCTAGGCGGTCCTCCCGCATGGGACCGAACCATACTAACCACAAGTTGATTAGTGTAAAGTTGCTCGACGAGACCACCTGCCCTTTCCCATCCGTCTCAACATCGAGCATCCGAAGCCGGTGCAGCACCTTGAGACTCTCCGCTATCGGTCGGTGTAGTGGTTTGGTGAATTCGACGCGCGAGGGCTCCAGTAAACCTGTCCGTGCGTTGAAATGCGGAAGCCGATGTCGGGGGCATGGTACAATGTGGAACAGCTGGGGTGCCGAGTAGACAAAGTTGAACGCTTGTGGTAGCAGTAGCAACATGAGCGTTTTGCTGAAATGGCCGAGGATGGCCACTACGGCGAATACCATGCCCGCAAAATAGCAGTAAGTGTCGCCAACAAACACCTTTGCTGGATACCAGTTGTGCATGAGTAAGGCCATCGAGACGCCGATAAACGGTAGTAGCAGATACAGCGAAAATAGGTGCGAGTCCGTCGCTGGATGTGGGTACGTCGTAAATGGTGAGAGATACAGCATGTCATTGCCGACAATTAGGACTGCGATGACTATAGACTGGGCCACCTCGATGCCGTTGATGCCCGCCAAGATGTTGATGCTATTCGAGGAGAAGATGGACATCAGCGCCATGTAGACGTAGTAGAGCCAGCCTGGGCGCACGTTAATGGTCAGTTCAGAAGCAACTATCGATGCGAGTACATACCCAGATCAAAGAGTTCGCCAAGATAAGGCCTAAGCGGTAGTGGGACGACCATCTGCGTCACACCAAAGTCGACAAAGTAAACCACGAGCATGGGAATTACTGCAAAGGCTGGGATGAGTACCTTGTGTCGCCATCTTATGTCGAACAGGTCGTCCCCAATACCGAGCAGTACAATCGACTGGAGGGAGAGTATAGCGGACAGGTAGGATGCAAGCTTGTTGTGAGGAAACCTGTGTAGTAGCCTCCCAGTCTCGATCAGCTCCAATTCTTTGATGGTGTCCCGGTTACCGCCGCCTGATGTCGCAACTACAATATCCTTGTAAAATGGCCATGGTATGAAGAAGATCAGGATGAAAAGGTACACCATAGCACACACCGCGCCCATCATCTCTGGGCTATCGCTGTCAGTCGAATATCATCATGTGCAGTACACTTGGCACTTACATTTCAATCTGCTTCAGCTTACAGAGATCCTTTCCTTTGAAGCCACGCTTCGCAAAGGCATCCCCAAGCCATCGTATCAAAGCATAGCAGAATGCAAATGCCAGACCACTGAGCGCTATCGACGCAACAAGCGGCTCACCATCACCGTGAAGCGTGTTGGCCAGCACACCGACACATGCGAGCGACAAGGAGACCAGTGAAAGTGATTCTGTCGATGACAGCGCGCTCGCCATGGTGATAGTGATAGTGTTTGATGTCAAGGTGACGGCGGATCTTGGCACGTGGACGCCTGTAGCTGTTGACTCCGCCCGGCCGTTTGCTGTCGCGACGATATCAACAACGGTTGCGCAACCTCCCCACAGCAACACCGTCACGACCTGCCGCTTTGCCGAATCGCCACCTCTTTGTCCGGACCCGGAGCTTGACTTTGCGTGTATCGTTCGAAGTGGACTTGAGACTGACAGATAAAGATTGTGAACAGATCCACGACTCCAGCGACGAAACCAACAAGCTCGCAGCGTGAGCGAGAGACGAACAGAGCAGCACAATCTGCACGAGGTCGTGGTTGCGGTGTTTGGTGAGTAGAGATTCTGGCAAGGTGTTGTTTCGGCTTCTTCCTGCTCTGCTAACCCGAAACGATAGACCCACGAACATTGGCATCAACATGGCGGACCACAACCAAGCCAGCCGCTCGGCCAAGGCTGATGAGCTCCTGGACGGTCTGAATGCGGTGAGCAGTCACCTCGCGTCGCGAAGTTTCCTCCAGCACTTGACAGCGTCGCGTCTGCCCTCTGCTGCAGTCAGCGATTCGTCCTCGCTGGGCCCCACCAAGGAGGAAGCACGGTCGCCTGCACGGAGACCGCATCTCAATATCGCCGCCGCTTTCGAAGACGAGATCGAGCACGTGGATCTAATCGCTCCCCTGATTCAGGAGCCTTGCGCCGACGGCAGCACCGGCAGCGTCGAGCAGCGCGTCATCGACCAACTAGAGGTGGCCTTTGTGTGCGCGCATCGCGCCTACGCTGAGATGGCTGCAGAGCGAAGCTTCCAGACCTTCTCGCATGGCCACCAGGACCTCGTACTTGCTGTCGACTTCAATTACTTCGGCACGCGCATGGTCACGGCAAGCTCAGATCACCGCGTCAAGGTCTGGGACAAGAAGGACGACTCGTGGACCCTGGTCGAGAGCTGGAAAGCTCACGATGCCGAGATTGTCGATGTAAGTTATCTAATCTTCAGCCGCAAATCTTCTTTCGGTCACCTGCATGCCATTTTGCCACCTTTGTGACCCGTCGCTAACTCCATGTACAGGTCAAGTGGAACGGCCCCTTCATGGGCGAGGTTGTCGGTAGTATTGGTGAAGATGGTCGCTGCAAGATCTGGCAAGAGGACGTCACCGAGGTGGCCATGTCTGGCAACCGCTTCAAGCTGGTCTACGTACTCCCTTCGTTGACCAACGCGCCGTTCATGTCTTTGGACTTCAAGAACATCATGCAGGAGACCTGGCTCGCGCTCATCACCCGCGACGGCTATCTTACTGTGTATGAGCCCCAGGATCAGAACAACCTCCATGAATGGACTATCTTGGCTGAGCGCTGGGTCTCCGAGAACAACCCTCCTGAGCGCCAAGAGGAGGTAGGCTTCAAGGTCGTTTTTCACAAAGAGAAGCTACCCTGTTGGACCGCCATCACCGCTGGCCTTGACCGCAAGTCGCTATCCCTCGCTGTTGCTGCTATGAAAGACGTCCTCATCTTCCGTACCGACAAGGCAAAGCGCTTCTTCCAAGTTGCGAAGCTGGAGGGTGCTCGTCAGATTGTTAGAGACCTGGCTTGGGCGAACGGTTCTATGCGAGGCTATGACATCTTGGCCACAGCTAGCAAAGACGGCGCTATTCGCATCTATGAGCTTCGTACGCAGACCGAGAATAGGAACGCTGCATCTGGAGAAGCATCGTCTTCCGCTCCGCTTTCAGTCTCTCCGCGAGGCCATCGACAGAACGCCCCATCTGGTATCGGAGCTGGGCTGGCCGGAGCTTCCAAGGCCCCCGACACTTCCATTGAGAACGAGCAGTATCCTGGTCGTATCAAGCAGAAGGTAGAGATGACCGATGAACTTACCAATCATCACGGAGCGGTTTGGCGTGTCGCGTTCTCGCAGATGGGTAAGTCACACCGGAAGAACATGCACATTCACAACTAACAACTATCACAGGTGATCTTCTCGTCACTACTGGAGATGACGCTAGCATTCGTACCTGGAAGAAGGCCGCTGATGGCCACTGGCAGGAATATGCCCAGATTGAGACCGCTCAAGATAACTAGCGAGTCAAACGTTTCTTGCATTGTCAGATTCGACATGTTAGGGCTCGACTTGGTCTTCTGGACGAGACATCTACGGCGTTGGCGGTAGGCGGATTTGCAAAGGTCTGCTAGCAAGCCAAAACGCATTGCATAACGGAGCAATTATGGGATGAGGAAGGGAGATTTTGCATATGGAATTTTCGGCGTTTAGGCATAAGGATAACACCACACGACATACGACGCATGGCTATTACGCTGCGTCCAGGTCATTTCACGTTTAGATACCCACGGCTATCCATCACCGAATCATCAGCCATGTCATGGTGGGACTTTTCATTTCAGTAATCTTGGGTATAAAAACAAGAATAGCAGCAATGCTTACATATCGTGCACCCACATCCGCCACTGTCAATGCTGTACCGCACCAGTCGAAGCTGCTGTCTTTACTCACGACGGCCTCAGTCTAAGTCGCCGCTGCTGTCTTTACTTACATCGGCCTGGGTCCAAGCCGCATGCCTCTTCATCAGCTACCGCAGCAACCGATCCGGTTGAAGCTGCTATCTATTGTCACATCGGCCTCGGTCCAAACCGCTTTACTCCCCAGTCGTACCTGCGCATCCTACTTGCCCGTCGCCAGAGCTACCAGAGCTATGGTTACGCAGGGCAAAAGAAAGAGGTTAGCTAAGGCTACAGTTAGTTCGGATGCAGAAAACTCCAGGGAAACACAGCGCCCAAGCAATGAACTATGTGGATGGGATGTCTATAATGCTGGAGCAGAGCCACCCGTCATCGACGATGCCGTTGCTGAAGACCCAGAAGCTGCCAGAGTGGAACGGGAGTTATGGGTTTACTTACCCTTTACAGACCAAGAATTGACGGATACCACGCTGACCAGCGAGGAGGTCGTAAGGATGGTAGAACGCGGCTATCCCGCCCTTGCAACCAGTGCCATGGCGGACTTCTACCAGTCAGCTCGTGACCACCTGCCTAAATCGCCGCCGCTCACCATCTCAGTGCGCGAGGAGTATCCGACGACATGGCCAACTACAAACACAGCAATGGATAGCTACTGGGGCCAAGCTACCGATGCGGAGAAAGCTCTTCACCCTCCTGACCACCAGGTTGACTCTACAGACGACTTTGCATGGCTTGATATGTCAGAGAGGTTTTCAGTCAAACCCTGTGGAAGCCCCGACGACTCTCTCATGGTATTGTCCTCCTATCCGACTGCTGACGTCAACTCAACTGTGCACTTGGCTTATAGAACCATTGACGATATGTCTAACCCTCCTATGTGGCTTTTGTACTTAAAGATGGGTTTCCACGTCGCTAATATTAGGGAGCATTCGATGTTTTATGTGGACGTTTTTCCCCGGCGGTTGAATCGCAAGACCGTGCCTGGGGGTGACAGCTCCCTCAATTTCCTCCGCCAGCTTTCTGCCGATCTTTGAGAATACTGGGGCACTGCCGCCCAGGCATTCATACGCATATCTAAGTCAAGAATCCTCTTGGTCGTCGGTAATGTTAATACAGGACGAGGACCAGTACAGAAATCAGAATGAACACTAGAATGGAGAACAGGAAAAGCGTAGGCAAGCACGCAAGAAGCACCATGTTATCAAGAAACGCGGGTTAGCCAAAATGCGAGGGGGATGATTCACAAGAGCAGCATAACTCGCAGGAGGAGGGTGACTCGCAGAAGGACCGCCGCAAGAGACCTAGGAAGCAGGGTCGGGTCAGAAGTCACCAGCCTCTCAATGTCCAGACGGCTGCCCAAAAGACAACATCAGTGGAGCAGGACGAGTGTGATGTGAGCTACACAAAAGATGACGACTTCAAAGACGATACCGATCCGCAGACCGTCGCCGATGAGCGACGTGCATGGTCACCTATTTACGTCCCTTTCTCCGGCGATGCCTTATTGGACATCACCCTGACTAGCGACGACGTTGTGCGCATGTTTGAGACCGCATACCCTATACTCTCAACATCCAACCACAGGATTAGAACCTTTTGGGACTCGGTCAATCAGCACCTCCAGAGCTCACCAGCGTTCCGCATACCTGTCCGAGAGGTCGATCCACACACTTGGCCTCTGACAGACCCTGTCGTTGACGGGCTATGGGGAGATGTAACCGCCGCAGAAGTAAGTTCTGCTTGTACGAAGTGCATGTGAGACATGTACTAACTTCGTACCTCTACCTCTCTAGGTAGCGCTCGACATCCCAATCATACCACACTGGCTCGATATGGACCCAAGCCTTCTGTGCAAGCCGGTTGGGAGTCTGGACGACACACTGATGATTGTGTCAAGTTACCCCACGGCAGATCCACGCTCTACCGTGCACCTTCGGTACAGAACGGTTGATGACCTCTCTAACGCATCTATGTGGACATTCTACAGTAAGCTCGGCTACTATGTAGCCACTATACGAGACTACGGGCTACTTTACGTTGATGTGTGCCTAAGGCGCATTGATAGGAAGCTGGTCCCTGGGGGGACAGCTCCATGTCCCTTCTTCGCCAACTGCCAGCCGACGTCCGCGAGTTCTGGGACTCCGCTGCCCACGTCTTTATCCGTCTGTCGAACTCCAAAGTTGCCCTGATTGTCGGGAACGTGGCAATCCGTTCGTACACTTTGTATCTCAAGTTAATGGCCATCCCGCATACCACTTTCTGGGTCTTCGGGAAAAAGCGCTACGCCTCTGAGATCCCACTGGCCTGGCTAGAGGCCTCGGCCAACGGTCGTGTCATCAATCGCATCAGTTTCGCCATCAACCACCCAGAAGCTTTCAACAGGAATCGTGGATCAGTAGTGACTGACATACAACGCCAGTACGCTTTCAGGGAGAGGATCATCGACTTTTGCCAAGCGAAGATGTTCGGACGCATCCATCTGCCCGGCTTTCTGTCTACTACTTCCTACGTGTTTCAGTTATCAACTGGCAGCATACTCCCAGTCAAAGCTCTCTTCGAACGCAGCAAAGGAAACGACACGATCAAGGAACACTTCAGCCGGCCAACTCTCGACACTAGCTCTTTAGACAAGACCATGGAGAGGATTGCTGGCCTCAGCGTCGAACAGCAGTTGGCTATCAAGGCCATCCGGAAATCAGTGAACGTAAAGCTGGCTGATGCGCTAAGCTATTGGAATCGCGCCGATATCAAGCTTGAGTATGCCGGATACATTGTGACCTACATTCTGTTGACCACTACGTGGCGGAACCGAAAGGCGTCAACGGTGTCGAGGACCAGAGCGACTGCTGACCAGCAACCACCGGAGATACAGGAGGAAGAAAGGCTTCGGCACAACGCTCGGCAGGTCGCCCGCCGCAACGCAAAAAGCGGTATTGACTATATTGCGAAGGCACCTCATACCCGAGAAAAACTGAACAGGTCTGCAGGCTACATTAAGACAAAAGCGTGCAAAGTAGGTAGCCTAGCGGCAATGCAGGCTCTAGGGTGTTTAGTTCTTCATTAGGTTAACGTAAAGGTAGAAAGAAAAGAATACTTGTCCAGACAGAGGAGGGGAGTTGTAGGATAGGGTTGTAGTACGGCCGGTGGACTCGAGGTACCATCTGGGCCTAGATCTTTCTGATGCATGTGGGCTAGAAGATAGGAGTAGTGGGGTAGAAAGCCGTTGCGTAATGCTAGGAACGTTGTAGGGTTAGCGTATACAGATCGTTGGAATTGGAGACGTGGCCTTTCTGACAGCGGATCCGACTCCACAACTCGACTTGAAACTAATACGATGCCTTCACGATAAACAGCGAAGTATCAGAGCTGCTCGGCATGCGAAACAGTGCTGAGAATATATTACATTTTTGAATGAAAATTTCCATCCTATCAGGCTTCCTGGCGCAATGGTAGCGCGTCAGATTCCAGTACCACCTGGAGCTTCCTGAAGGTTATGTGTTCAAATCACATGGAGGTCAGAGCGTCTCTCTCTTTGCGAGGGATAGTAGCATCTTTTTTTGCGGTTAGGTGGGAGGTGATGCGTTGAGGCCCTGGTGTGTTGTGCTCGGTCGATGGCGCTAAGGAGGGGTGACTCCACCAAGAACCGAGGATCTGGACCCAACTAGACCATGACTCTTTTGAAATTGGCGTGCATTTTTTTAACTGCTTGAATTATCCAAAAGACCCGAAGACAACCGCTTTGCCAGATGAATTGTCCTCCTGCAACATGGACCTTTCGAGCATCAAGAGGAGATGCGACGTTCTTATGAGGAGCTCTACAGGACATTAGCAAGCGTTGCAACACCAAGGAGGATGCATGGACTTACCGTCGTACTCAATTTCATATGTAACTGGCATATCCTCATCTGTGCTGATGAGGATCGGAGCGTCCCTCCGAAGCTTCCGTTCCCTTACATTGAAGCGTATACCGCTGTCCTTTCTCGGACTGACCCAGAGGATCCGCGGGTCGTCCAAGTCCGCTTTCTCTTCCTCTACCTCTCTTACGATCTCTTTGCCCTTACCTACCTCCTCAACAACCTCATTTGGTACCCCCGTATTCGCCGTCAAGCCCCTCGCCGCAATGTCTCGCAGCCAATCTCTCCACACTCGGAGTACACCTTCTTCAATGTCAACAAAGTTGGTGAAGAGATTGTGAGAACCGATCTTGACAAGATTCGTCTGCGCAACCAGCTGCGTGAACAATTCATGCGCCTCTAACCCAAGTGTCTGTCTCACGGTCTCGCCTTCGTATCTCTCCTGTACTGCCCCCGGAAAGGTACGACTGCCAGGTACGTCTCCAGGTCGGCGCTTCACCCTCCTGCCATCCGCTTCCAAATCGCGCCTATGGGGCTTGAAGCGCGAGTACATGTTGTTGTATTCGGCCAGTCTGCCAACCTCCTTTGTAGCAGAGTTGTAATCATCGTAACTCTTCAAGCCATCGGTGCATCGGTATGTACAGAAGTACGGGGGCTCGGTGAGCTTCGCAGAGGGGTGGAAACATTCGAGAAGCACCGAGTGCGAATGTAGCTCGGCAGCTGCGGTGAGCCGATTGTGTAGGATACGTAGGATGAGCGTGTATATGCGATGCGATATCGTGGTCAATTGTAGGAGTTCGGGCGTTGGTATGGGCGTAAGGAGGTGGAGAAGTAACTGCAATGGTTAGCAAGTTGGACGCGATACTGATGTGCAGGAAAGCGTGCCTCATTGGGGAGCCTGTAGAGATAGCATTCACTCATGATGTCAGATGCGATTGTATGTATATCAGGTTGCAACGTAGAATGTCAAACCTCGTGGGGCACGAGTCTACACACATGGGCGAAGGGAGCAACACCACGACTCGGAGATAAGATATCGTCATCGCGGTGCTAGGCTCACTTTGGCGGGGCCGAGGCTTGTCCGGATGAAGTTAGAACATCATCAGAGACGCGCTTTCCCATTCAAGCCTCAGCACTCACTTTCTCAACTCACCTCGCAAACCTCAACTTCACCTGATCGTCGACAAATATCTAGGTAATAGAGTGAGTGTGGCTCTCTCTTTACCCACGATGCAAGGCTTCGTCGCTCGTCAGAGAACCGGCAGTCCTGCCGCTGGTCAGCCTCAAGGCAAGCCCGACCGCCAAGCCAATGCAGCAAACGCGAGGGTATCAATAAGAAACGGACATCCCGTTCAGCAACCTCGAGCGACTTCTGGTATTCCGGCGCGCGGACTCAACATCACCCAAAACAGCTCCGCCGTCCTGCAGCAGCCCCCCCAAAATCGACAGTCAGGTCCGGGTCCAAGTCAAAAGCGCGATCTTTATGACACTGATGCAGAGAGTCTTGACACTACTGTGAACCCATCTATCGTGCAAGTCGAAGACAGTCAACAGAAAGAGCAGCACTACCCGCAGCAAGATCATGTCGTCAACCTTGGTGGCACTTCGGAAATGGAAGGAGAAGACGATGAGTATGCAGACGAGCCAGAGCATAGGGAAGATGGATCTGAAGGTTACGATGACGAAGAACTGCTCCAAGAAAACCAAGACTTCCTTCATGAGAGCGGAGTTGCACATCTTCCTTACGATGAGCAACTCGACTTTTTGCATCAGGCAGGGCGCGGTGGACTCCCAACCGTCCGAGGTGATTCATATCCCCCGACCACCAATGGTGAGCCGTCCGAGTGGGAAGGTGGACAGGAGGCACTCTCCGACTTCCACAACGAGTTCGCTCCCATTTCCCCACCGCCTCAACGTCAGAACATGAACAAGCAAGCCGCACACATGCCGGCGTCCCATGCCCCGCAACAACAGCAAAGGCGAAACATGCCAATTGCCAGCCAGGGTACGCAGCAGCCATCGGCTTTGTTTCGGCATAGTGCGCAGCTCCGCGAGCATTCTCGCACTGCCGCGCCTTCCCTGCAGGCTGGAGGTCAAAATGTTCAGTATCACGCCCTCGCCCTTCCCACCAGTCAACACCAAGCTCATAATCCAGACAAGCATAGTAGCACTGCCAATCTGCCGATGTATCCGGGTCCTCATCCTAGTACCCAGGTGCAGCCCAGCAAATCTCAGCAACGCCTTGTTCGACAATCTTCTGGCCCCAGGACGCAGCCCCCACCCAGAAACAATGCCATGCCCAGTGAGCCTCATGCGCCTCAAAAGCGTCAGCCTCAAGTACCGGCTATACAGGAACCCGTCGCGCAGCAGCAATCGGTCGAGCAAGCGCCGATCGAGGAGCCTGAGGTTGTCTCCCATGAAGACTACGACCACACGACGCTGTTCGGGATGAGTTACGAGCAGCTTAGGAACGAGAGCTTCGATACTAATCCCCGAGTCCGGCCGTCTGTGCTCTCAAAGGAAGATCTTCAGAAGCCTCTGGTCGAGCGTCTAGAGTTAGTACAGCAGAACCCAGATGCCGTTCAGCAATCCGAGTTCTTCCAATCACTGCCCACAACCGAATGGGAGGATGCTGGCGACTGGTTTCTCGATCGGTTCCAAGATATCATTCGGCGCACAAAGGAGGCAAGGCAAAAGAAACGCAAGCTAGCCCAGGAGTTTGAGGCAGAAGTTGAGAAGCGACACGAGCACGTTTCAAAGCGGCAGCATCAAGTTCAGCAGGCGATGGAGAAGATGAAGTCGCAGGGTGAGGGTCTAGTGCCTAGGAGCCCAAGGTCCAGGAAAGGATAGGAGCGAAGCTTCTGAGCTATGATCTCTTGTTTCGTACCATCTGATGTTTACACGGCGCAGCGCAATGATGGCTGCCATGACAGGATAACTGTGTCCCGGTGCAATGGCACTGCTCGATGTCGCCACGCGTATATTATACCCATATATCTATTTACCTACTATTTCAAAACATAAGCGTGCGCCATACCTTCTCTCGCGGGGTGCATTTTATCTTACTGTAACATCATCCCGATGCGCTAGAGCTTAATGATGTACTACCACTCTCAACTATCATTTCCTACTATCATCTTGTGTACAGTTTGTCCACCAAAAGCCAAGCAACTCGCAGTGCTGTCCTACTCAGAGGAGGAACTGAACAAATGGGTTGCAGTCTACATCGATGTCAAAACTGATATTCACAAAATCTTTAAGCAATGTAGACTCCTTCGTGGTTTGTATCTATCAGCCTGCGTAGATGTATGTTCAGTTTTTCTTTTGAATGAGGTCGTGCTCTTCGAATCTGATTCAATATCATCACAAAGCATGAGCAATCGCGACTGTAGCGGAGTAGAGTAGAGAGGATCTCCACGACAACGAAGAGCAGTTTCCAGATGAAATGCACTATCGATAAGATCATTGTCATCTCCCGACAAGCGCATCCTTCATTTCAGGGTACTCTCTCCAAAGATTGACAAGCGGCAAGAACAGGTCCTTCTGCACCTCTTTTCCTTCTTGCTCAGCTTTCGCTTGTTCCCCAGCCCATTGCCACATCTGGCTCCAGGGCACCCAACTCCACGCAGCACATTTATGCGGTTCCATCGGCTGTCAAACCCATCAGTACTGCATTTCCTTTCCCCGTCAACTGCAGCATGAAGAGGGACTTACCATGGGTGTCCTATTCTCACCGGTGATGGTGCAAGTAACAAAAATGGTCACATAGTGCTTTCCCTCTCCGAAAACATCGTTGGTAGCAGTCAGAAACTTGATGTTGCCCACCTCAAGCCCAGTCTCCTCCAGAACCTCTCTTGCAGCCGTTTCAGCAAACGACTCGCCGTACTCGAGATGGCCTCCGGGACATTGAAGGGTTCCTGCGCCGTGCGAGCCTGCGCGCTCGCCCATGACGATGTTGCCCGCATTGTCATGGATGACAACGCCGACGCCGATCTTGGGACGCTGAGCTTCTGTCATATTGGAAGAAGTCGATGGGTTCCTCTGTTTCGTAGGTAGGGCGGAATTTCAGTCGCTGAAGTCGTGACTTTCTATGCTGGCCGAGGCTGCAGGCATGACTCTTCCCGATACATAGTGGCTACTCCGTGCGCTAGCGCCTAAAGTAGTCTAGTCGATGTATCGCCTCGAAGCCC